AAGGAAAAGGAAAAGGGAAAAGGAGAAGGAAAAGGAAAAGGAAAAGGAAAAGGAATTCCCTCGCTGTCCAGAATCTCCCAGGAATTGCATGCCTTCAGTTGTAACCACTTGGTGTTGTTGGGGTTGCTTTCACAATATTTTTTTTAATACTATTACTATTATTATTATTATTATTATTATTATTATTATTATTATTATTATTATTATTATTATTATTATTATTTCTGTTATTACTCCAGATTCACTGGCTAGGGTTCAGTTCTCCCCAGAACTCTCTGCTCACTTTTCTCCTGGATTCTCTGGTTCAGAGCTCCCTTCCCTTGCCCTCCTCTCACAGATGCTCTGAGCATTTCCCACTTTTTTCCCTGCCCTACATTCACCAAAGTGACTCCAAACCCCAAACTTTTACTTGCAAATGCAACAACAGCAACAACAGCAACAACATCAACATCATCGTTTTACTCCAAAAAGAAAAGTGACCAAAACGATTCCTGACAGGTGACAAACCTAAAACCCACCGGGCTCCCACTCCGTGGAACGAGAGCAGCCAAATGTTCCCAGCAGTTGCTTAATGCAATTACTTGATTAGGGGAAAAGGGGTTTTTGGGTTTTTTTGTTTTTTTTCATTTCCTAAGCACGACAAGAAGAAGCAATAAAGCCGTCAATAATTCTCCGGGCAGGGCTGGGGCTTGGTGCTCAATCTTTGCATGGTCATTGCCATTTCTCCATCAATGAACTCAGAGAAGCTTTGAGGTTCTTCAGGGATTTCTCTCGGATGGGATTGACCTTTTCCTGCAGCAGCTGCCGAGGGGTGGTTTGAATTCTTGAATTTGCAGCACATTTTAATGTTTGCCGTCCATTTAAGTCACGTCGTGTTATTTCGAGGTGCCCAACGAGCTTTGGAGTTAAAGATGGGTCAGTGGGGGGGAGTTCCTGCTCACAAAAGGGTTGGGTCTCAGGAATGGGGAGGTTTTTTTGGAGCTTTTTGTGCTTCCAGGCACAGATTCCTCCCCTCCATGGAAAACACTGCTCTGGAGCTGGAACCTTGGAGGAGGCTGGGAAATAGGAATATAGGAATAGAAATATCT